GGGGAAAAGGAGACCGGAAACTTATTCTGGGAAGGTCCATGATGGGTCCCGCTGGTACCTCTCTAATGCAGAGGTGCAGATCAGTTCTTTGAGATTACCAATATGGCAAAAGTCTAAGGTAGTTCTTATTTCAAAATTCAAAGTTACATATCCAGTTAACATTCTTCTCTGTTTTGGTGGTAATTTACTTTTCACTGTTCTAGATTTGTTTTTACACGATGGGCGATCCAAGAGCTGATAGTTTCACCGGTGGAGAGTTTGAAATTGAAAAGGTCCCTGATCATGAAATTGAAATGAGACAGAAAGATTTGTTACCTGTTTTCGAGCAGTTCCATTTCATCAAATCAAGCTGGGATGACAGGTGACGACCGTTTTATCTATAGTTCCACACACATTGTTGTAACTCTATAATCTAAATAATATAAGTGGTTTGATCCTTTGAGATGCTGGCGTCTGAGCTTACCAGGCGCTGGGTAAAGATACTGTTATATTATATGTTTCATGCTTAAGCATGGTCCTCTGTGTGTTTTGTCCTTCCACAATTCTGATACTTGTTAAATTCTCCCTTCATTGTATGATTCAGAGGCCTTGCTGGTGGGAGGTATCCCAATCATACTTCGCCGCCTCATCCAGCTGAAAACAAGATCTTGGAAGAGACTGTTATATGTCACTCGAAGCCTGCATCACTTAGCTCCACTGAAAGCTCAGATGGGGGTATGATACAATGATAAAAAAAAATATGCTTCAATCAGTATTTAATATCTTTCTGTCATCCAAATGGATATAAATGAAAACTCTCTGTCCATTTTACGTTGTGGCTTCTCCATCTGTTTTAGAGAAAATTTTCCAAGTGCCTGGTGTTCAAGTGGGTACTCCACGTGTCATAAAATAAGTGGAGGAACAAAGAAAAATATATCATTTCCTTCACTTGTATTATGACGTGGAGTACCGCTTGAATACCCGGTACTTGGAACATCTCTTCTGTTTTTGAGAGGAATAAGATCGGAGATAGTCTGCAATGGTTTTCTTAGTGCAAAAAGGACTTGATGATTATTATTCTTTGTCAAATGCTCAAATTTAATCTCTACACTTGTTTTGGCAAGGTCTTCAAGTAATATTCCAAATATATAAATCCATATGTTGAGGCTCTTACAAAATTCTTTCTTATAGCTGATGTTCTATCCTGATCATTTTAACTAATTGTGTCCGCATAATTACTATTTTGGATCTCTATCAGGTTCGTCAAGAAGAATTGAGCATTTTCTTGACTTCGATCAAATAAACAATGAGAAGCCCCGCACAACAGTTTATCAGACCTTGAATGGCTCGGAAAGAAGACCCAATACAATTGTTGAGCCTTCATTAGAAAACCATATGTCTTTCAGCATTCTGTGTACTCCATCTGAACATTTTAAGAACATCGATTCTCAAATCAACGGCTGTGTCACCAACGGTTTGCCTGCGTTAGAAAGTACCTTGATTCCAGGAGGAAGAGTTTCTGCCGAAGAAGGCCTAGCATTGAAAGCAATTGGGATCAGGGAGGTCTCAGTTTTATACTCTGATCAACGTGCTTCGAGTACCGATATTGTTGCAGAGGGGGCTTCCACTTTGCAGCATCCAATAGATCTTTCACAGTTTTTCCAGGAGGAGCATTGTAACGCACTGGAGAAGAACGGATGCAATGGGTTAACTGAAGTCGTAGCCGAGGATGTTGACAGCGACAGTAGCCACTGCGAAAAGGTGAAACCCGAAAACGAGGAAGATGGTGAAATGCTTGGAGGCATGTTTGCCTTTTCTGATGAAGGTTAAAATCTAAAGCTATTGCTTCACTACATCATCGCACAAGCTAACTTTTGAATTCAATAGTCTGTTTAAATGAGTTGATAGCAATGACCTCGTATTTTCTTCCGGCAGGTTGATCTATAAGTTCAAGCTGCGTGTTGCCTATTCCGACGATCAATAAAAAATGCACGACGTTAATATGTCACCAAAGCAAAGGTAACTTCTCTTCTCTCGCTCGGAATTGTACATATTGTAGATGGAAATTCAAAAGGTTTTATGGATTGTGGTAGCTGTGGGTTGACAAGGCTTTGTAGAAAGTGGATTTTGGAATTGGTATTGCTCGCGTTGAACTATTCGCCGATCCTCCTCTTATGTCCTGTACAGATAAATTTGGTATGAAACAAAGTTCTCTCCAAGTTTGTACACCTATACTTTTATTCTTCTGAAATGATGAAATGGAAACCCAAAAAAAAAAAATGAGAAAAGAAAATGCTATTACTTGTAATTTTTGTAAATTGCAATTTCACAGGCCGCAAAACTGAGCGCAATGGCGTTATAGGATTCATACAATTGACCTCATTTAGTGAGATAAAGCTTGGTTGTTGTACTGGTTGGAATTACACAATTGTGTGTAAGGCCAATTTTGCCAAAACGGAGTACACGGTTTGATTGTAAGGAAAACTAATGAAAATGGTTTGAAAACTTTGAGTTTTAACGATAAGGACAAAAGGATAAAGTGAATAGTACTATGATTAATTTTTTAGTGTAAAAATGTAGTTTTTTTGTTAAAGTGAACAGTACCGGAAGCTTTTCGTTAAAGTTTCTTTGATTGCATGGTGTGCATTCTCACAAGTTATGCTACAAGTAACCGTAAAACTCGTTCCCATTTACGGTACGACGTTTGATTGAGACTAGTAGATTTACAAATGATTTTGATTCGAAGATCTAAATATGGTTTTGCCGAACCTCTCGTTCTTAATTGGTGGCGGGATGAGGTGTTGAATTCGGAACATCTTTCGACATTGGGAAGAGAAGTGCAACTAAACTATAACCTAGTTGGTTTTTATAACATTAATACGGGCGTGCATGCAACAGGCAAATGCCAAAACTTATAATGTGAACAAAATTGAGACCTAGCAACAATTGTTTTTTAACTTGAAACTTTTCAACAACAGTAGACTAAACATCATAATATCATTAAAAATCCAACAAATAGACTAAATGACGCTAAATCGAATATTCTAACTACCAAATACTTCATATTTTTGCTGAATTCTATTTCTTAGTCTTTCTCTATACTCTTTGCTCGAAGCTTCTGTCTTATAGTGCATCATTTAACTGAAGCATCTCTAGGTTTTCGGTTCACTTTACTCTAATGTCCAGGTTCTTAATCCTACTATTTTTCTTGTGTCCACACATCTAACGAAGTATTCTCATCTCTCCTACTTTATTTTTTATTTTTTATTTTTTTGGCACATGTTATTTTTTAAATACCTAATATTTGATGTCATAAAGCATCAATGACCTTATTTTATTCCCTATAAAAGTTTCCTTCCACTTTCGTTGCAAACATGCACTTCACAATTTCCTTTAAATAGTCAAATCCATAAATCCTAATATAGATTTGATTGCCTCTTCGGTGGAAGCTTTCCAAAAAGTAGTGAATCTCCAACATTGGATTTGGTCGTGGGCTTGACATTCTATCAGGATTTGGATCTAAGAATTTGTATATCTTAATCATTTATTATATATTATGAGATCAGAAATTATTTAATTTTTTTAATTTAAAATTAAACACAAATAGTACTTGACAAAAACTAACCGCATAATATACAATGAACGGTTAGGATATAAAAATTTTCAGAATCCTCATAAAATGAATCCGAAAAGAATCCTTTTCTTATGCCAAGTTTTTAAAATCTGTGGGCAACAATATATGACCGCTTACGTGGATTTGGATATGGATCCTCCATGGATCATGCACCGCCCCACCAAAATATAGAATTTTATTGATAGGTTCAAATCCTTAATTTTTAATTTGTTTGTGTTTTGGTCGAATAATTTAATTTCCTTGTACGCCTAAAAAATTGACACGTGTTCAATCAAAGCATAATGCCAAATTAGTCATGAGGACAACTCATGCGGCTTGTGGTGGTGGTGGCGGCCTAAAAATGGACTTGACAAAGCCGGTCGCGGACTTTTTTTAAGCAAGCAACCGGAACGTTAGGATAGGGATGTCCGTTAACGTATTTAAATTTGTTAGAGCAATGTGTTTCTTTTTCTGCAGTCTGTGTTTCTTTTTCTGCAGTCTATGTTTCTTTCATGGTTTAAATTGATAAATTCGAAAAATAGTTAGAGTAGTGTGTTTCTTTCTTTATGCACGAATTCAAACTTTTTTAATAATTTAAATTAATTTAGTGTATATTATTTTTTTCCCTGAAAAAGTAAAATTTATAGAAATACTTGTCTAAAATGATCATAATTAAATCCCAATTGAAATAGTTTTTATCGAGGCCCAGTGATCACAATATCCTTAGTTTGAACGAATTCTATGTTGCTTTAATGAATATCATACTTGTTTCTAAAAAAAAAAAAAAAAAAAAAAAATCCCAATTGCAAAAGTGATTAAACCACTATAGAGTGGTCCAGTAGTTAGCATGTCTTAGGTTAGATTTTTTACGCTGGTGAATCGCACGATGATGATCAAGAGAGGCCACTAATTTGTCCCCTTTTGCATTTCTTTTGAATATGCATGTGTTAGCTGCAAAAGACACCTTGCGTGAACAATAGAAAAATAAGTTGGTGTTGAACTTATCATTCATACGATTCGGACGTAAAACTTCACACGAATATTAGTACCATGCAATACTAGGTGGAAAAAATATTAAACAATTGATTATAGTTTAACATTATTTTTATATGAAAACTAATGAAATGTCTATAAAAAATTTAGTTTTAATGTAAAAAGATAATAAAGGTAATGCATAGTATCAGATAAAGGTAAAAATATGATTTTTTTTTGTTAAAAATAAATAATACCGAAAATATTTCGCTAAAATTTTATATTTTTATTTGGTAGTAGACTAAGATGGCCTATATTTATAATTATTTGGGGAAATTAAATAAACATAGAGCTTATTCGGGTGACGTTGACAAAAATCTTCCCTCCGTGGCAGTGGCAGGTCATTCTGTCAATCAGTCAGTTACTCTGTATTTTGTCGCCAAAGACGTTTTTATTCGAAACGTTTGCTTTCAATAAAAAAAGAAAGAGCCTTTCCATTTCAATTTCCACACATTTATAACTCCTTTTTTCTCCTGTATACAGATTATATAAGATATGCCCGCTTCCGCATTATCGTTCCCAAGTTGTCTGCCGAGTCAAAAACTCGCCCGCTGTGCAGGTAGGAACTGAGCGAGAAGGCGGCCATGGACGCCGTGACTCAGTGGCAGGAGCAGTGGTTCGACTACACTCAGTATCTGCGCCGAGAGGTTTTTCTGATTTTTTCCCTTTTCTCCGTTGATGTTTTAGTTTATCTCTACTGGGTTTTCTCTGCTGAATTCTGTTTGTTTCCATGGAAATTTTTTGGGTTTTCTCTGCTGGCCTCTGTTTGTTTCCATGGAAAATTTTCTGGGGTTTCTCTGCTGGTATCTGTTTGTTTGCGTGGAAAGTTTTCTGGGTTTTCTCTGTTGGCAACTGTTTGTTTTCAGTGGAAAAGTTTTATGGGTTTTGTTAATTTCACCATAAAACTTAAAAAGTTAGGAACTTTCAGATTACTTTGATTAAAAAAGGAACTTTCAGATTATAAGGAAGAAATGTTTGTAGAAATTGCTGGATGCCAGAATTAGTTTCCCAGAAGTACTTCCATTTGTGGTTCAAAACTGGAATTCTTTTTCCCTTTGTTTTTGAATTTTGGGCCGTTGAAGTAATTTTGCTTTGTGGGGTTTTTGGTGGTGGTGAAAAGGGATTCTTGGACGATCAATTTGCTCAGCTAAAGAAGCTGCAGGATGAAAACAGCCCAGATTTTGTAGTTGAAGTTGTTTCTCTTTTCTTTCAAGATTCTGAGAAGCTTCTCAACAATATGGCCAGGGCTCTGTGAGTTCTCTTGTCTTAACTCTGAGTGATATTCTTTGATTTGCTTCGCTTTTGGACAAATTTTATGGTGGTAGCTGTGTGAAAACAGAACCGAGCCAATGGCGGATTCATATAGCCGACCCCACTTAGTGTGAAAAGGCATGTTGTTGTTGTTGGTAGCTGTGTGAAAACAATGTTAATTTGGGTTTCGTTTATTTTTCGTAGAGAACAGAACGTTGTAAATTTCAAACAGGTAGATGTCTATGTTCATCAATTCAAGGGTAGCAGTGCCTGGTAATTCCAACCTCTTTTCTTTACTTATTTGATTGTCAATTCTCTGTGTCACTTGAATGCCTAACTTGCTGTGAACGGCTGTTCTGATCGTTCTTTATATATGGTACGCTAATTTTTTGTACTTAGTTGTTTTTTTTGAGGTTTCTAATTGGAAATTGATTTCGTCGGTTTGCAGGATAGGTGCATTGAGACTTAAAAATGCATGCATCAACTTCAGAAATTTTTGTGAGGCCCGGAACCTTGAAGGGTAAGTGTTTTTGCTTCGTGGTGATGTTTTCAGTGATTGATTTATATTACACCAGCAATCGGAAATTTGTCAATGTATATGCTCTTCCTTCCGTTAACACTATAATATTAATCACAATTCGGACTAGAAATTTGTAAGCCGGTTATTTCATTGACAGAAAATCATAGTTTAACTAAAATAATGTTTAAAAAATTCTGAACATCCCCACTATGATTCAAGAGAAGTTGGTATCTTATGTTCGACTTATATTTCATTTGTGTTTGTACTCAACTCTCGCGATGAAGAAAGGGTTTGTAGCAGGGCAGTTGCACCTAATTGTGACTCAGTAATGTTTGGTGTAGGTGTTTGAGATGTTTGCAACAACTGCAGCAAGAAAGCTCTGCACTGAAGAACAAGCTCGAAACTTTATTTAGCGTAAGTACATGAAAATTTTACTAGGCAGCTTGCATTTTCCGGGATTGATTATCTAAAGGAATTACTTGGCATAACCCCTGCTTGTGAGCTCGGGGATATAACTTATGTTCTGTCCTTGACATATTCATCGCTTTGGATCCTCCAAAGCATCCTCGGACTGCTACCACGAACAATCTCAGTTTGGATTTCACATTAGCTTCTTTGCCATTATCTCGTCCATTCATTGACTTTGCCCCTTCGGTTTCTGTAGTTGGAGCAACAGATTGTGGCTGCGGGCGGGTCAATTCCTACGATGGAGTAAATCCTACAATGGAATCCACTGCTATGAAATCTGTCAAGAAATATGGATATCAGAGTTTTTCGAAGTCCTTTAGCGTGAACGATTTTACTTTGATGTAGTGAAAATTTTCGTGTAATCCGCCTAGCACCTTCGTAACGAGGTAGCGTAATAACTTCCTTGGAGGTATGTAATGTAAGGCTCTGTTTTGAAACCCTTCATCGGACGCAACAATGTATCATCTTTCTTGTTAATTTGGTAGTGAGGAAGCTTATATCGTTGAACTTGGCAAAGCTCATATGATCCAGTTTGGTTAAAATGCTCCCCCACAGCCCACTATTTCACCAAAACTTGGATCAGAAGATTGATTTTTCTCTATAATTTTTTGGGCCTGTTGGATCATAAGATTAAGAACCAGAAAAGTGCTTTTCTTGAAAGTTGTTTTTGTCCCTCAAAGGTGAAAGTTAAGCCACAATTTTTTCTACAAATAATACCTATGGATTGAGATCCACACCGGATCTTTGTGTCCAGACCCTGCTCTTACTCACTTCACAAAAATTCAAAAAACTTGAAACGTCCAAATCTCTCTCTTGAAACGTCCAAATCTCTCAATTTGTGGAATTCGGGCATAGAGATCCAGGGTGGATTTGATTCCCCTCAAAGGCTACCGGTTAGAGCATGTTTTTTGTCATCCTTCAAGTCTTTGTTAGCTTCTATGACCAGAAACAAATGAACCCATAAATGCTTAAAAATCTTGAGAGTGGACAAAAACCCTATTATCATGTACATTGTAGTATTTGTTTCTCTCCTTGCTCTAGAGACCGCATACGTCGCACTCGACAACTTACCTCACACAAAAAAATCTTTTGTTATCAAGGATAATAATGTTCTGTTTTGAGCACTCATCGACGACTTAAATATCTCATCATTTGTATTAACTTGCTTCAGGCGATAAAATATGTTGCAACCGAGGCATAATTATTTTATGATTACAACACTCATAAACAACAAGAGATATCTCTAATGGTAGGACAGATTAATTCCCTTCTAACGCACATCTCGCCTCCTAGTACTCAAGAAAGAGGAAGCTCATTTTGTGTAGAAGGTGGTGTGGCTGGATGAAAATGACATGTTACTGAAGTTAAATAAATGTGGAGGCAAAAAGATTGCAAGCTCTATCAAGTATGGCAAATGTACCATATCCAAAAACCAAGAGGAGGAATGTGGGGGTGTTTTAGTTGTTGGAGTGGTTATGTCATCTGTGAGAGAAATTTTTCAGTATGTCGAGAACATGATTTGGTATGTCAAGTGTCATAAAATAATTGGTTGAAATTTTTTTTCCAAATTTTCAGCAATTGTACTATTACACTTAGTGTATTGGACCGTGTTCTTGGCACATACAGAAAAATCTCTCCATCTGTGGGGCGTCATTGCATATGCCAGATGGGGTTGCTAGCTTTGCTTTCTTGCTTCCTGCTCAACATTACCTACCAAATTTATGCTTCCATAATAATACCATCCACATTGGTACATATTTGTACACACCCACGCTATTTGCTCATGTAATTTTGTGAACATCGATTGTTTTCGACTCACTGCAAATTATAGTTTGACAAGTTTGTACTTTGTAATCATTATTTTCATTAGCAAATTATCAAAGATATTATTTATTAAAAAACTATAACAATGCATTAAAGATGCGTACAAGATAATAATCTCTTATAAGAATAAATGACTTTTTATACACGTAAAGTGTCGAGCATTGTTATATATTCCATCTTGTAATAATTTAAAGTAATCACCCAATATGATTTTTTATTTCTTGGTAAACGTTTTTACTCCAGCCAGGCAGTTTGTGAAACCAAGTAAGGACCAAAACGGAGGAGTGGACAAGAAGTTAGTAACTTTTGTTTTACCATCTTTCGTTGGATACTCCAATACTCCCAACATCCAACGAAATGGCGAGCAAGTTTCAAGAATGAATGCCATTTTTCTACGCTAAAGAGACTCATTCAATTTCAAAGTGAGACTCTCTTTATGAACGTTCTGTCACCTTACATTTTAACGCCAATTTATGTACCAACATTATGAAATATTAAGCTAAAAACGTGAGGTGACAGAGAGTCTATGAAATTTTTCATTTTTAAGAGTCTTCCTAGCATTTCTCCTTTTAAATTTGTTATAATTTCTTTGTACAATTGAATTGAGAGGTGAAGGCAATTATGCAACTTCATAAAAGATTTTGGTAGGATATTAATTAATTGAAAAGAGTGGGTGTTGAGAGCAATTCTAACAAATTAGCTAAGAATTTAAAGTTTTGAAGAACATTTGACAGCCTACATAAATAGAAAAGTAACAAAAAAATTAATAGAAAGTGTAAGTTCTGCCCATACCACCGTAATAAACTCTTGTTAGTGGAGAGAGATTTCAATGTGCCGAGAATAAGTTCGATGCATCAAGTATCATAACACAAGTGGTTGAACACAAAAAAAAAGTTTTTAAGCATCTGTATTATGATACTTAGTGTACTAGGTTGTGTTCCGAAAATTTCTCCTTATTATTGTGGAACTTTGATCTTTTGTGAGCTTTTATGTACACTCCAAAATCCCAAATCAAATCTAAGTATTCATTAGTGAAAGTTTTTTCTTTCCCAAAACACTTCCCCAAGTGGAAAAACCTCAATTATATTTTATGAGCAATTTTTTGGTAGCGTAATTGTAATTTCTAACATCATCTTCAAAGGAGATGCCAAATATGTTAAATAGGATTGAAAGACATTTAGGTGTTCTCCAATGGATATGCCATATATGATGTGGCATGCGAGTCATTTGACTCATTGTTTTCTATCTGCCTTTCTTTTTACAACAAATAAAGAAGGAATCAAATATATTTAATTGAATTTTTCAATTTGACACATCAGCGATCAAATAAAATTTTGACATATTATATTTGATATCTCTTTTGAAGATGCTCTAACGACATATTTACTTATTTGAGAACTGTCGTGAATTAGAAAAAGTAAAAAAATTAAAGACATAATAAAGGAGTATAAGTCGATATAACTACCCCAAATCAATCTGCCTACGAATTAAAATATGATTCAACCAAAAAAAAAAAATTAGATTATCGATTATGACACGCCACATACCTATTCATTTCCTAGTAAAAACGCATGAAAGTATTATAAACAAAAAGTAAATTACAATATTCTCCTTTGTGAGTGGGAATCCAAGCCCTTTTCTTGTATGTAGAAGGACCAAACCCTGCTGACAATTAGCGGAAAAGGATCCTTGCCTGGGAATTCTAGAAATTTCGTGATCGTGATTATTTATTTTATATTTTACGGTCAGAAATTATTTTAAAATTTAAAATTAAATATAAATAATACCTAATGAAAACTGATCGCATGATATGGGATGAACAGTCACGATGACGGAATTCTTAAGATCCCTAGAAAAATGATCCAGCGATCATTTTTCAGCCTTCCAAGTTCCACGTCGGATAAAAAATCTCATGTTAAATGAAGCTGGATCCTCTTCACGAGGATTAGGGAATCCATAAATCGTGTACATTAATCGTACATCGTACGGTCAGAAATTATTTTAAAATTTTTTATTTAAAATTAAATACAAACCGTACTTAATTAAAACTGATCACATTATATACGATAAACATACATAATTTACAAACCTCCAAGCTCTCACCAAAAGGTTCAGTGAGGATCATGTTGGATGTTAAACCGCAATGTCACGTGATCCCCGCCTCCATAGTGCGCCAAACTGGATCCCGAACCTGAGGCCTCGCCTTCCACGTAGGCTCGGACAGCCGTTTGACCCCGAATCCAACGCCCAATAAAGAAAGAAAAACAGTAACATTAATAATAATAAAAATAAAAATTGAATAACTCCTTCAGTGGCTCTGTTTACAGTATAGCAGCAGAGTGAGTGAATGCGTCTTCTCTGAGAAGCCAAAACCCCAAAAATAATCAGAAAAAAGCAGAAATCTTTGGATGAAATCTGAGCTCGAGTAGAATTACAATACAAGATTCAATCGATTGCCTTCTTCTCCAAGCCACCATCTTTTTTTTTCTGGATGCTTAATGTTTCCCACCATTAAAGTTATCACCTCTCTGTGATTTCCCCTTTCCCACGAGAAATCTGTAGCCTCCTCTCACGGAAAAGCGCTTTTCTTCCCCACCAGAAGCACTTTCTTCCTCCCCGCTATAAAACCATACCGCCAAATCCATTTCTTTCACTCACAGAGTGTCAGAGCTTGCTTCCAATGGCGGAAAAGCAGAGGAGTAATGGGTTTGTGTGCATTGTGTTCTTCCTCTGTTTGATTCAATGGAATCCCATTCCCATTCCTGTCGCCGTCGCCATTCTCGACCCGGTTGATTTCCTGGCTCTGCAATCGATTCGGAAGTCGCTGGAAGACATGCCGGGATCAAATTACTTCTCCTCCTGGGACTTCACCTCCGACCCCTGCAACTTCGCCGGCGTCTACTGCGACTCCGACAAGGTTATTTCCCTCAATCTCGGAGACCCAAGAGCCGGTGCGCCGGGTCTGACGGGTCGGCTCGACCCGGCAATCGGCAGGCTTTCTGCACTCGCCGAGCTATCAATCGTTCCGGGTCGGATCTTCGGCGCTCTACCCCAGTCAATCTCCCAGCTGAAGAGCCTCCGGTTCCTCGCCGTCAGCCGCAACTTCATCTCCGGTCAGATTCCGGCCAGTCTGGGCCAGCTCAGCAACCTCAGAACGCTCGACCTCAGCTACAACCTCTTCGCCGGAGCAATCCCCACCTCCGTCGCATCCCTCCCGGAGCTCTCCAACCTGATGCTCTGCCACAACCGCCTCTCTGGTTCTCTCCCTCCGTTCACCTCCCAAACCCTGACCCGGCTCGACTTAAAGCACAACGACCTCTCCGGTTCGCTCGCTCCCGACTCCCTCCCTCCATCTCTCCAATACCTCTCTCTCTCCTGGAACCGGCTCTCCGGTCCGGTCGACCGACTCCTGAACCGGCTCGACCAGCTCAAGTACCTCGACCTTAGCATGAACCAGTTCACTGGTACGATTCCTGGTCGGATCTTCACGTTCCCAATCACAAACCTCCAACTGCAGAGAAACTTGTTTTCGGGTCGGATCCAACCGGAGAATCAAGTTTCAATCGCTACCGTTGATCTCAGCTACAATCGGCTATCCGGTGAAATCTCGCCGTTGTTCTCGACCGTACAGAGCCTCTACTTGAACAACAACCGGTTCATGGGTCAGGTTCCGGGTAGCTTCGTGGACCGGCTACTGGCGGCGAACATTCAGATACTGTATTTACAGCACAACTTTCTGACGGGGATTCAGATCAATCCGACGGCTGAGATTCCGGTGAGCAGCTCGCTGTGTCTGCAGTATAATTGCATGGTCCCGCCAGTACAGACGCCGTGCCCGCTCAAGGCTGGGAACCAGAAGACTCGGCCGATGGCGCAGTGTAACGAGTGGAGAGGGTAAATTAGGAAATTCGGATGGGGTTTATTTTTTATTTATTTTTCGTAAAAGGAGAATTAATATTTTGTTACATTTTGTGGGCTGGGGGTTATTTTAGGATTCATTTATTTATTTTGGGGTGCAATATGAATAATGAAAAGATTGTGGATAGTCAGAAATAGTGTAACTATGTAGGGGAAATTCATGCTCCACTATTTTGTTATTAAATATAAAGAATTTTTTGGTATGAACATGAATATTTCGTGGTGTGTAGAGACTGTGCATCGATAGACAAATCGTTAAACTGAAGTTTTTTTGGAATAAAGTGAAGGTTGTGTGCTGCTAGACAAATCGTTACGTGCAGTTGCTCGGTTTGAATTCTGAATGATTAGGTTATCTCCAACCGAAGGATCCAGATGACCAGAGGGTCGAAAAGCACCTGAAAAACCGTCTCCAACCGAGGGCTATGCTAGAAGGCTGTGAAATCTAAGAGGGCCCCACAGAATCGGAGAGGGCTAGAGGGCTGGCCAGAAAATAGAGCAATCCTGTCGGTTATAACCGACAGGATTGCTTAAATTTTTTTTTTAATACAATGGCTAGTCAGCTAGCCATTGTATTCAAATATATATTAATTTTTTTTGGTTTTTTGGGCCAATTTTTTTTTTTTTAATTCTTAAAAATTCTAATTTTTTCCCTTATAAATACCTAAACCATTCATTAAATTTAAGTTCTAATTTTTTTTGGTTTTTTTGGGCCAGTTATCGTTGTAGTTTTTAAATTTAAGTTGTTGGATTTGAATTTAAGTTGTTGTAGTTTTTAAATTTAAATAATAAATTATGTTTGGCCTTATGACCTTTTGGCCCTCGGTTGGAGACGGTTTTTTGTGACAAGGCTAAAACGAATCGTATGATCCTTTGGCCCTCGGTTGGAAACGGAGGCAAATATAGCTCTATACTGTTCATTAAAATATTAATATCTTGGAAGGCCAGAAAGTTAAAACGAACTCTCTTGCTAACCATCGGTTGGAGACGACCTTAATTTTTAGGATTAATAAATTGCTAAATGACAAAGTTGATGAGAACGAAAAATTGGGTAGGGAGATTGACGAAATTGGGTAATATTATGCAAACCTCATGTCCCAACCTTGATCACAAAGCCCTCCCTAAGTTTGTTTTACAAACTTCGAGATGTGACAGTCACATTGAAATTTTTTCGAGTTGTGATTGTTTTGATGATCAGCCTCCTCTTCATTTGCTTTCTTTCTGATAGAAGAAGATAGAGAAGCACAGAAGCACTGCGTGTGGGGTGCTTCTGCTTTTCAGCTTTTGCCATGCACGGGCTTCAGACCAAATTACACTCTTCATGATTGGAGCCAGCTGCATGGTTAGTTGCAAGAAATGTGAAGCAACATTACATTATTCATCATGCACTTGCTTCAACAGCCGCTCATTATTTCACACTTTGGGAACCTGATGCTTTATTCACTCCATCATATAACAATAGTTTATCTTACGCTGCAATCAGATAGTCGACAGCTGACACTTTAATCTTCACGTCGAATCTGTATGATACTTGTATTGCATATTGCATATATGCAATTCAATATAAAATATAAGACGACTTGTTTTTAACACTTATAATGGTGGGTGGTGATAGAGAAAGACATGGCCCTTTCCGGAGATATATATGTCTCTTCCTATGACATTCATCACGTGATCAGTTCTACAGGATAATATATTATTTTTTCATGTACGGTGTTGATGAGTGGGCGCTATACACGACTTAGCCACATGATTAGTGCTATAAGAACAGGTAGAAAAAAAAGAAAAAGAAGAGAAATATCTAGTTTTATGCAAGAATCTCGTGGCAATCGTGGATATAGGCTCACAAGTCGCAAAATGAACACGTTAAAATAGTAGAACAAGGGAATATTTAGTTCAACCTAGAGAGTCTAGTTGTATTTTTCCTCTTGAAAGCTATATAATATTGCCCTTCTTTCTTATGTAAGCCATGGGAGAGGACATATGAAGGTAGCTGGGATTAGGTGGGAGTTGGATCGACAAAAACTACAGAGAGGAGAGAGGGAGAGAGGGAGCACATGAAAGGAGAAGAACAAAGCTAGCAGGCAACACAAGCTACAACAAGGTAATGACACTTCAACTAAAAGAAAAAGAAAACCAATTGACTCATTTGTTGTCTCTTCTTCTTGGTCTCTAGGGTTTTGGTTACCACGTCTTTTGCCACACTGCAGGTCAAACTAACCCAATTTCTTTAGTCCCTAGTCCCTGCACGCAAGACGTCACGGTGACAATATAATAGATGAATCACACCTTAACATGTATTTTAAAGTTTTCCTATAAAAATGAAGAGAAACTTCAGTAGGGGCGTCACGTGATCAGATATGTAAGACAAGTTACTAAGAAGTTGTCACGTCAACACGAACGAAGCCGGATTAACCATAATATACAGAGTTTTTGAGTGAAAGTGAAACCAAGAAAGGGGTCCACTTTCCCTATTAAGGTTTTTCCCCTAAACATATTTGACCGACTTAAAATACGGTTTAACGTAAATATTTAGTTGCATGAAAATTCTTAAATTACTTTAATTTTATTTTCTATTGCTATTGTTTCTCATGTTCGCAGTAGTTTACGTAAATTTGACTTCCCGAGATTTATTTCTATAACACCGTTGATAGCGGTGTGAGTTCAATAGATTTAGCAACTTGGGCTCGAATTGAACTCAAATTTCCGGCTCATTGAATGAATTTGGTTTCGAGTTACAAGAATCAAACTCAAAATTTCCGGTCCACTGCAGTAATGTGATCAAAATTCTGGGAGCACTCGAAAGTAACCAAACGAAAAAACATGAACCAGTACAAATAGGAATGGTTTGGAAGATCGATATATCATAGTTAGCACGTACATGGCTATTTATTTATGTAAAACTGAATTTGGTGAATGCAATTGTTAATGCACGCATCCACTGCACATACATTCACCGGATCGTGTGAAACTCCGTTCAGTTTGTTCAAGAAAAATGTCTCCTCCAGACTCTCTTTCGGGGGAAAGGCGCCGGCGCTTCTTCATTCCCGGGGAATTCCCATTTAACAACTTCCCCGTCCCAAGAAGAGCTTACAAGCATCGGGTAATAGGGGTGCCAGCTACAATCTCTTACAGGTGCTTTATGATGCTTGAGTGTTGCAACTTGGGCTCCAGTCACCTACAGAGATTTACCCGAAATTTACCCTAAACTACGGAATGAAATCCTAGCAGAGAGAATAAAATGTACAGCACATACCAAATCATATATATACACGTAAGAGTTATGAGACCCCGTGTAGATGTACTTCTGACCGGTGCTGCAAATTTAGGGTAGATGAAATATGTCAACAGTCTCGAACAAATGACAGTACTGCAAATGGGTAAGAAACTTGTACCGAAATTTAATTGAGTCGAAAGCAGTTGAACACTACATTTGAACATAAAAACTTCACTAGGATCTGAAAACAGAGTCTAGACCTCTAGAGGAATATGAACAAAAAAATTATTACTAACGCTTACCTATATGCCGGAGAAAAGTAGCAGCGAATAAGCGTGCGCAAGACTGAATGTCCTCTATACGTAGCTACTGATTGATCAGAGGGGTGTTTCATACCTTTTGCCTGAGATGGGTAGTCCATCCATCTGTAATCCCACTCAGAAATCCTAAGCCCTGGAGTGCTGGAACAAATTGAAGGATTGTTATTCTCTAGCAGTAGCAAAATAACGAAATTTCAAGCGACCAAACTTTCATGGCCCGAATAAAATAATTTAGAGTTATACAACGAAGCCCTTCCAAACTATCCTGATCTTGAATGAAAAGATGATATTTTGATGTTTATAACAGGATTAATATCAGCATTCACTTTTTTTTGGGATAAACGATAGGACAATCTACACTAAACTATGGGGAAGGGGATTCAAACATGGGACCTCAAATGCATGCGCGAATGCTCTTAACCGAGCTACAAGCCACTTGCAATATCATAGTGTTCACCGACCATGATTAAATAGTAGAAACATTAAATTCATAAGATTCCAAGGGAACCATGGGAAGCTAGGATGTTAACATACCGAGTGGGACTAGAAGACATTTTCCTGATATCCCAAAGTTTAATGGTCTGATCTTTACCATTCGAAATGAAATAACGACCATCTCCCTTGCTGTCAATGAATGCAATACCTTCTAGGTGTCCTGTCAAGACTCCTGCTGGCTTCCCTGTGGTTTGAAGGCAACGTCTGTCCCACACCTGCACAAAGCCACACCTTATATGAGTTTCCAGATGCATCTCATGTGAATCAAATAATGACAGAAATTTTACCTAACAGAGAGTATCATCACTCTCAGACGTAGTTATGGACAACGGGAAACTCAAAACTAGAAGTAACATGGACGACAAGTTTACCTTACAGAGAGTATCATCACTCCCAGAATAAATAAGATGGCCACTTTCATCGGCAAAGCATACGGTGTTCACATCATACTGCAAAATAAAGCACCATTTAAATTTCCAACCTCTAAGGTTCCACTCTCATTCAAAGAGCAGTCACCACATTACACTTCAGTATTCTTCAATATGACAAGGAAAACAGTAAAAGAAAACGACAATATTGAAGAATAAGGACAATCAATAGATGAAATAAAAAACAAAAAGATAGAATCATTAAAGCGTTCAGAAATGCTTATACCGAGTGTGCCGGAATCCGAAGGGAGAGCTTATTGGCTTCAAGATCATAAACATATATAGAATCATCACTACTTCCAGCAACAAGTTCATGCCCATCTGTTGAGAATTTTATGGAGAAAATACCAAATGAGTACCCTCCATCATCATCACCAGAGGAAAAATCCAAACCCTCGTGGATTTCCTGCATATAAAATCATTCCCTGAATGTCAGCAAACTTATTGTCAAAGCAAAACTAAATCCCAGTTTCAGAAGAAAGTTTGCAAACCCAATATCTACAATTTATCATTTGCTTTCCTGTAAAGAGATGGAATCTCAAGTAATATCATATAAAGCAATGAAGACTGATATTTTTCTTGCTGAGTTCAAAAGATATTCACCATTACTTACTTTATTTCCTTCATTCTCTAGTCTAGGATATGTTGATTCCGCTGAAAACAACACCATTATCCTATTTATTTCATTATATGTTTCCTTTTCTCCTATCCGAAATAAGATGACTATGTAAGTACGACAATCATCCAATCATATGGTTATGTGACCAAGTGATTTCTGTAGTGTTATCTATCAATACAGGTATACTTTTCGCAAGCCCTGGAAGCCTAGGATCCTTTACCTAAAGCTGCAAGAAATTAAAACACTCACCATTTATATATTAGTTATTTTATTCAAAATGACCAGCATCTTCCCTGAGTGTTTCTAACAAGTAGAACTGTAGAAGACAAGAAAATTGTTGAAAATGCAAACTCTAGAAAATTCGAAAAACATAAGAAAGCACATTTGTATACCGTTATATTTGCATGAGACTCCGTTTCAGAAGATCCCACATCTACCATATGAACAATAGGGGACATACTCGCATAAACCTGAAATTGCGGAACACAAATTAAATAAAGATTAGATTTTTGAGAGACATTGCTATGTAAACCTCTGGGTGTTTTGAGAGATTATTAATAGTTTCCTATTTCCATACATTTAGTGCTTGATATGCATATATAGTACTTTGATATCCTTCCTTACACCATTATTTCATTGATCATGATTTCTAGGTTCATATCGAAGGCCAAGGGACTAATTTTTCATGAAATTAAGATAACAATATACAGGGCCTCACAAGATGGCGTTGATCCGGGGAAAGAGACGTATCAGTGACAGTCCACCGCATACTTTTCACATGGATGTTCTTCTGGACTTTCCACCCTCTATCCACATTGTATATTCTAATATGGCTATCCTGCAACGAACATTTGAACAATAACTAAAAGTCAAGCCCATCGTATCATCGACAACCCCTGTATTTGAAATTTACATATTTCCAAGTTCAAAAATCTTTCAGCTTCGTAACTGAAGAAACAACGCCACTATCTTTTGATTTCTTTTGGTAGATGAACTCAATAAAGAATAGAGGTCATCTTGTTCTCAATTTGCCAACTTTAGTATCGAGTGTGAGCAATAAACATGTTACCTGAAACCCAGCAATGAAAAGAGATCCATTTGCCGAAAACTGAGATACATAAGCTCGGCTAGACATTCGGTCGACAAGCCAAGGACCATTGACCGGCAAATATCTACTTAGAACATGGCAAAGATCTGCGGATGAGAACCTTCCCCCTCTTCCCGAATAATTACCCTCCCGACCAGCCAGCATCCTGACAGTGGAAATGGGTAAGTCCTGCCTTCTAGGTCCAATTCGGGTAAGCCGCTCATTGGGATTTGATCTCAACTTTGTGAGCTGGGCTACTTCATGCTCTAGATTATGCAATGGTTTGTTGGGATGGAGGGCAGCATTTCCATGATCAAAATGGTCAGATTCTAGTGTCAATCTACTGAGTGAAAATCCCATCTCATCAAATTCATCCATCAACCGCGGCTGCGGCGCCTGTAACAACATTATCATACATCTTCAGTCATTAAAAACAACAAATGTATGTAACATAAAAACAGCAAATGTCAATCCTGCAAATAATATACATATATATATATATATATATATATATATATTACAAACACTTACAACGTAGCTGAACCTTAAAAATGCTTCCCAATCATGTCACAATCCCACAAATTTAAGCCATAAAAAAACAGCAAAAGTAACATAAGAACAACCAAGTTGCTAGATTTTCCATTCCATCAACTACATATGTCCTAAATATTTTCTATCATGCACCTCAAGCTGCTAACTTTTTTGGGAAATTCTGCAAATACAAGAACAAGCTCCCAACCCAACAACCTTAAATTCAACAACACTGTCATCCTCGGACTACAAATTAAACTAAATGGTTTTCGAGGATTAAGAAGTAAGAACCAATTGCCAGTAAACAAAATCAAAGGAACAAAAGAGAGGAGAGAGAAACTCTTGCTTACCTCTTTTGGGTGGAAAGAGTGATGAACTGGGTACAAGGATGGGGACTTTATGTTGGGTTTTTGGTTAAGCAAGCAGAGGGAGGTGGATTAATGGATAATCAGGATTAATAGTATCAGTAGTACAGATTATTACCACATAACGTATGGATTAATGGAGTTTGTGAAATAATTGGATTCATGGATGGAGATTGGAGACTTCCTTCGGAGTTGGGTTTGGTCGATTAGGATGACACCGACTGCAGAACTCACCGCCTCCTTCGCCTCCGCAGAGTCGCTGACGGAATGACGGCCCACGTGGCCGCCTCAGATGCTTTCATTCATTCTTTTTCATTTCTTTTTCTCTTTTTGTGAGATCTTTTGTAGCTTTGGGGGCCTTGTTGGCCATGTGCCTATCCCTATCTTCTAGTTGGAAATGTACAGACTTATTAAAATATGGAAGAATATCAATATCGATTGTATTTGACGGAAATTATAAAAATTTGTAACAGAGTGTTTATATCAACTCATTCAGATTTAGTTAAAATTAAAAAAAAAATTCTCAAAAAATTCGGAAGTTTGAAATCTACAATTGATTTCTAAAAAATCTCTATAATGAATCGATAAATATCGTCTATATTCATTGATTTTTCTATCTCTTGCCGATATAAGACCAAATTTGCATTTCATCCCCTTTTCTTATTGATTATTCGAATATTTCAATGGAAATATCAATATTTTCATGAATATTTAAACATTGATCCTATATCATCTTTCAGACTTTTTTAAACTCTAATATCGGCATGTAATGTTATTATAAGTGTGACTATGGAAAGGGATCATCTCCCGATTCCTTCTACCAAATTCATTAATCAGAATCCTTGAAATTTGATCAAACGGTTAAAGTTATTATAACTTTTAAAGGAGATCTCTGTTTTTAGCCGTTTGATTAAATTTTCATGGTCTGAATTGGTGGATTTGGTAGAAGAGATCCGAAGAGGATCCCGCCGTGTGACTACATGCCGATGTATCAAAAATCGTGGGTACAGTGTTTGGTAAGTTAATATACATGTTATAAGATTTATTGGAATATCGCATTGATGTGTTAAATGCGCGGAAAAATCTCCAACACTTCATTTACTAAAATTGTGTGAACCAAAAACGATATTTTTCTATCACGTTTTGTATATTGTCGTATGCAAAACTGAAACGTGATACAAAAATATGCATACATAGACAAAGTCAATTTGTAAGAACAGTATTAAGTTTAACGAATTCAAATCCAAACTTTTCTTAGATTATAAGAGGTCAATTGGCATGCTTATTCAGTAGTGACGTTTTTTGAGGAATAGATTAATTGTTAAGGCTGGTTTGGTATTGCTGTGTTTTGAAAGAAAAAAATTATTTTTGTTATGCTGTGAGAATAAGTTCATTTTTGCTGCTTCACATTTTCAGCTTTTTTTTTTTACTCAAAACTGTGAAAATAAGTTGTTTTTAAGTGTTTACCAAACATCTTTTTGAGCTCAATTTTTTTTATATCTGCTTTTTATAAAAACACCTCTATACCAAACCAGTACTAAGCTTAACGAAATTAGTTCTCTTTAATTAATCCATCAATTATTTGTCTACAATCCAATAAATATTTTAATAATATAAAGTATTTGAGAAGCACATTATTCTAATTAATTTATTGATCGTTTGATAATTATTTTATTTTTATTATTTAAATAAACTAATGTTTGTTACTACTTTTAAGCTAAAAAAACAAATAAAAACTAAAAACTAAAAATTGAGACGCAAATTTTGAAAACTTAAGAGAGTAACTTTCGGATTCATGTACCGAAAATTTTAATTTTTAAAATAATAAAAACTGAAATCAAAATAGTTACAAACGGTGAAGAATCTTTTTTCTGAAGATTCGGGAATCTCTTGATTATATTCGTTCATCATAAATCGTGTGGTTAATTTTCGTTAAATATTATTTATATATAATTTTAAATTTTAAATAATTTATCACCGCACAATATGGTTGTAGACATGACAAGATCCACCGGATCCCGTAATTCCTAAATCTTAGATAAACACTTGGTAAACCCCAGACGATACAACGGTCACCAGTCACAACACCAACCAATGAAGCGAGTTTGGAAGCTATCCGACGCCTCCCAATCTGAGCTCCTCTCCCACCACAGATCCTCATCCGCCGCCGCCGTCGCCGCCGCCGCCGCCTCCAAAACCCCACAACACTCCCCCTACACTTTCACCCGCACCAACTACCCAAATTACAGACGCACCCACGACGTCAATGCTCAGACCCACTCCTCCTCCGCCCCGTCTTCTTCTCCTCCGCTCATCTCTTTCTCAAGCATCATCGGCTTGTTCAGCGACAAGCCCTCGACGCAAGATCTCAGGGCCGGGGAGGATCTGGCCCGCACGGTGTCGAGGTTGAGGGACGAACTGGTTCAGAATGTTGGGGATTCTGAGAAGATTGTTAGAATTTTGGAAGAGAAGGTATGTTCCTCCCTCTGTGAATGGAAAAGGGGAGAGGGTGTCGTTGAGCTTCTGAATCAGCTGCGTTCGTGACATCATTTGGCCCTGGAGGTAATTTCTGATATAAAAGTTTGAGACTTCAGCTTTAAAGTTTGAATCTTTTTCGGTTTTAGTTTGAGTTTTCGATTAATCTACTCGTAAATTAGTGTTCTTTTCTAGGTTGTATGTTCAATTATTCAGCATGAAAGTCCACTAAATGGCCATTGTTCTGCATTTGTTAATTCTGTATCTGTAATTCTATATGGGTCCATTGTTTTTTCCGAAAGATTTCGCTCAAAGTACGCATTTTCGGTATGCCATTCACAATATGCACACTTGTGTTGCACTAACTTGGAATCAGATGTTATGAAATGAAAGACTGGCCTATTCCGATTAGGGTTCGTGGTGAATTAATCTGAGTTTTAAGACTATCTAAAAGACAAAAACACAATGGATTGGTTTGGTTTGGTTATGTGAAATGTGCTTGCGTCTTTTGAAAAATATCAAAACCAACAACTACAGACAAGTAATATTGAATGTAAGGGATGGTTAATCTTTTACCGTGCTTAGGAAATGTTGGTGTTTAACTATCTATTTTTCTTTTGATCTTTTTTGCTTATGTTACAGGTTTTTGGTTGGAGAAGACGGCAGGTTTCTAGTAGCACTTCAATCAGCGCAGAGGAATATGCAAAGGCTATTATAATTGCAGGTAAAGCGAAGAATGTTGAACTTTCCTTTTGAGTTATTTACCGAGGCTATAAACAAGCGGATGAAGACAACTTCTATTTATAATGCACTGATGAGTGTTTATATGTTCAATGGTCATACTGCTAAATGTCAGTCTTTGTTTTGGGACCTCAAGAATGAACCAGATTGCCGTCCTACTATTGTAACGTACAGCATTCTTATTTCTGCATTTGGTTGTTTGATGCTGGTTGACCATATGGAGGCAACTGTCCGGGGTTTAAAGGATTTATGCCTCTCGCCTAATTTAAGCACATACAATCATTTGATTGCTGGATATATAACAGCTTGGATGTGGAATAGTATGGAACAAACTTTCCAAAAGATGAAGGAGGGTCCTGTTAGTCCCGATATTAGCACTCACTTGCTAATGCTTCGAGGGTATGCTCATTCAGGTAATTTGGTAAAGATGGAGGAAACATATGAGTTGGTAAAACATCATATAGATAACAAGGAAATCCCATTGATAAGAGCTATGATTTGTGCATATTGCAAGAGTTCTGTGACAGACAGAGTGGAAAAGATTCACGAACTAATGAAACTTATTCCAGAAAATGAATATAGACCTTGGTTGAATGTTATGCTGATTAGAGTTTATGCTCAAGAGGGTTGCTTTGAGGCAATGGAGAAGTCAATAAATGAGGCATTTGAGCACAAAACCGCTATACATACTGCAGGTGTGATGAGATGTATACTTTCAAGTTATTTCCGATGCAGTGAAGTGGATAGACTTGAAAGTTTTGGGAAGCATGCAGAATTTGCTAGGTGGAGAACTTGCAGATCCCTATATCATTGTAAGATGGCCATGTATGCATCACAAAAGCGCTTAAAGGAAATGGAGAGTGTGCTTATTCAGATGGAGAATTTTAAAATTGCATGCACCAAAAAAACATTTGTGATACTGTACAAAGCCTACTTAATGTGTGATCAAAGATATAAGGTGGCACAAGTATTAGGATTAATGTGGAAGCATGGATATGAAATTCCTTTGGATTCATTCTGATCATGATTCTCCAGCTCACTTTGGTAGAGATCTTTGAATGGCAGAAATTGCGTAAAGCTTTCAGAGAGTATTGTGAATAGTTCGTCAAATTCATAAGACACAACAGGGGTTCAACATTATTACAGGTACACATCTTCACTCAGAAAGTGGCTTGTTGGAAATGACTCATTTTCCCTTTAGTCAGTAGTTGCCTAGATTTTTTGTTGCATGTGCACGCTTATCTGCTCAGAATGATTGCACACTATTTCCTGTTAATACGACTGTAAGAATCCTACAGTTTTTTATTGCTTTCAGCGTCCACTTTCTTTCTCCTTCCCTTTTCTAAGATGCTAGGCGGCTGAGTATTCTGATCGCATCGTCTGGATTAGTGCCACAGTGGATTCATTCAAAACATAAATCAGCTCAAGAAGTTTTTCTTTGTAAAAAATTATTCTTTCATCCCCTAGCCATCAGATTGATCTGATCTTGATGGCATCCTATGATCATTGAAAGGAAGAATTTACCGATCACATGCTTCGAGTAGACACTTGGGAAATCAAAGTGCGATCTGATTGAAATAGTTTGTGCTGACGCATCTTGATTGCTAGGAGTAATGAAATAATTTCTTCTATTTATAAACCAGCAATTTGTAGAATCAATTAGATGCGGTTGACTGATTTATGGCCTATCTATCATTGGTTGAACTGGACTATATTAGAAAAGAAACTTAATTTCTCTCTGATTCATTGATAATTATGCGTGGATTTTGTGATTACTTATTGATTTATGATGGCATTGGCTGAATTTGGATTCATTGGAATTCAAGAATATTACTTTTTAGATGTGCATTTCGTTTACAGTATGATGTGCTGACCTTGGTAAGCCGTATTCCGTTGATTGTGGAACAATGTTTTCTTAAAAGAGTGAGTGAGTGTGTGCGCATATGTAGTCAGTAGTCTTGCTACGAGATCACTCCTAGATGTGGTGTATACAGTACATCGCAGCTAAACCTGAATTTCTTATTTCTTGAGTCAGTAATAACTAGTGCATGAGATGCCATCAAAGGAACAAAGTGTAGATCCTGTTAGTGAAGTCAATT